GTACACAAATTGACATAAAGAAGTGTATTTAGTATAAATATTATAGCAACAAGTTAAACTGCGTAATCTTTAATATATTTATATTACTGCTTGATAAAATATTCCACGTATTTTATAATTCGAAATATTTGCACTTCACTTTCACATTCAGATTAAAATAGTGTGCAATGGCTATGTACTAGTGCACTAATGCATTCAGTCGAATTCGCCATGTAATATACCTAACTACAATCTTGAAATAAAAACGAACTATATGAACATCGATCTTAGATTTGTTCGCTCCAGAATTCAGATCCGCTGCGAGTGGATTGACAGGAACGCCAAACGTTCCTGTTAAATCCATGTTAAGCGCGTATCAGACTAGAAATTGAGATTGAGATTGAAATTAACCAATCAAAAGAAAGAAATCCAATGTTAAGTTTAATAACCTTTACTTTGACTGGTCAAATTTAATTTCAAATTTAATTTCAAGCTCTAATCTGATATGATTTTACACTATGTATTGGAGATTGAGGGTTGCGAATCAGAGATTAGAATTTAACCAGTTAGATCATTTTAATTTCAATTCTTTTCTTTCTGATTGGTTGAATTCTAATCTTCAATCCTTAATCTGCAATGCATAGCGTGATATGTGCTTAACTCCGTTCGGCATTCACGACACTCGCGAATAACGTACATTGCGGACGAAGAGAAATATGTTCGACCACCGTTCAACTGACAATGAATCGATTGTTTACGTGCCAAAACATCGATACACTTTGGACTCGCTCTCGATTCGCTCTCGACTCGCTTTCGACTTGTTGCTCGCGGCGTATCCGCAAGAATTTTGGAAAGCGACGACCGTAAACACGACTGACGCAAATAGTGATTGCTACGCAAACAACTCTTGTGCGCAATTATTACGTGGATTAAAATCGATAGAAGAAAGAGTCATCTACTGTGACATTCATTTTAAACATCTAAAATATTCATTGAAAAGTAAAATGCTTCAAATAAATTTTTGCCATCGAATACTTCAAAAATATTCTTTAGTGACTTTCAATCTTAAAATAAAAAAAAATGATCACAAATGCATTTTTTAATCTTGCTGCTTTGTTCGGTTTTTGATCCAAAATGTATTTTTTCCAAAGTTTATTTTTTTTATTAATATTTTATTCACAAAAACTTTTTTCTCTCTTATTATTGGAATTTGATATTTGATGACTTTATCACGGAAAAAAGAAAGTAGCTGTCGTAATTAAGAACATGTATGATAACTAAATGACAGGTGTAAAATATGGACATAATATCTTAGCTGTGATATCTATGTTATAGCAGCAATAGCAAACCATTTCGCTATAGTTTATAAATTTAGTTACGGTAGCAAATATATCATAACAAACCAAGATTATAGCTGCTACAGAGAAAATCTTTTTTCTGTGTTTAATATAAAATTTCTATCTATTTCTATCTATTTTCTGTACAAATTTTTTACTTTTTAAGAATTTTTCTATCTTATTAATCTGAATGATGTAATAAAGTAGGACGCTAAGTTTTTCAGCTAACTAAAATAAAAAAATTCCGAGATTTATAATATACCTATACATCTCGGAATTTTTTTCCTTTTAACTGAAAAACAGTCAAAATTTCACATCCACTTTAAACAGAACAGTAGAGTTAATGTTAATATTGAATTAGTCGCAATTTACTGAGCACGGATCTATTCTAATTTCATTCAACTGCTTAAAAAAAAAAAAATAACGCGGCGACTTGGATTTTCCAGCGTTCAAGGATCAAAGCAGGATAATTTAATTTCGGCGACGTCGGTCGCACTTGCGAATGAAGTATCGCATTACATCGCGTTCTCATAAAATTGTTACGTTAAATCTCAGTTTCACCGAATGATATTGCACTTGTGCAACGACAACCTTTACAACGTCCGCTGGGTAATCTCGGTCGGACTAGCGAATGGACCATTAAAACAAAGCGTAACGATTGTCGAGTCGCGTTGCGATAAACAAGCTGTAGGTGCAAAGCTCACATTTACTATCTTGGAATACTACTTTGATGGATTAAGCAAAGGTGTAAATAAAATTTTTAAACTCTTATGCATAAAGTTGAGCTATGACCTCTATTTTTCGATATAAAATATTTTTATGTTTGATTTTATGAATGGATGGAACCATATAATTGAATAAAGAAGCACTTTAATTATCTAATTTTCCTTTAATTAATCATTTGTTAAAGTATAACAGCAATACTTCTATGTTATTACCTCTATGTTATTACCTCCTAACAAAGAGAAGAGAATTAAGGATGTATCAGATATATAGTTTCTACAAAAAAGTGATTGGAATTGGAAATTTATATACTTTACGTGTGAAAATACATGTTATATATATATTATATACATATGAATCAATTCAGTAAGAGGTCAATATTTATATTTAGCAATACAATTTTATAATTTAAATAAAAATTTTTTCATGGAACTGTAGATTCCATTAAATGTAGATTCTATTTAAAAGAAATGCGATAGGTCAGGAATAATTTAGATTTATTCATATAACTAAACACACACAAAACACATGTATTACTATAATAAAATAAATTGTCTTTATCGGGCGATTATTAAATTATACTTTAATGCAATTTGTAAAAAATTGGCTGGTATTTAGATCGAACGAAAATGCACTCGACGTTAACTGAAACCTTCGTCTTAAGATGAAACACTCTGTCCTTATTGTACTTTGAGGGAAAATTTCCGAGAGAGTCCCTCTTTGAAAATCCGTCAACGAGGAAATCTTTAACGGAGAGAAATCATGTCAAGCGTGCTCGGCAGTTCGGCGGGATGGAAAGTTTATTACGACAATACTGTGATACTAAATATTTTCAAGTCCCGTAGTTACAGCGAGAACGCGGCGGTGAATTGCCGAGATTCTCTCGGAAGAGAATAATTCCGCGACCTAACGATCGCCGACGAGCCGCGTCGCTTTGTCTTTTAAAGTGTCGCGATTTCGCGTGCACAAGAAAAATTTACTTTGTCACGCGGGTAAAATTCGCCATGATTATTCTCTCTGTTAACGCGAGCGAGCTTCAAATACGCCATGAGAGAGAGAAAGATTTAACAAACGCAAAACTAAATTAACAGAAAGTTTTGCGAAAAAAAGATCCGTGTTATCTTTTCAGTCAGCGAAGCACACTCAAACGAATCGGCGAATCGGTTTTAACGCAACAACATTAGTTTCATTACGAATGTTAATTTAGTTGAATAAAGAAACCCAGATCTCATTACCGTGGCCATTATCTAGAAATGAATTGCTATCGCATGTAAAAGTCAAGTGATACGAATTTATATAAATAAATCGACATAATTTGCCGATTGCAAACGCAAGCTGTGCAAATAATTCGTTCACGTTCGAAATGGAGGAACATTCTCTGCATGCGGTTAATCTTTGTATATATACACCGTGGGATATTGTGGGCGGGATCTGTAATTCGGTGCTGACACACTTCTATACATACTCTCTCATACACACATACGTTCGTTTGTCCGGATCTGGGACTAGAATCCTCGTCTGTCTTACCTCGAGCGCCTAACTTGTGCTTATGTCTGAAACTGTTGCGAACGTGTCATTACTAACCCATTGTCCTACTGTCACACGCTAACACACACACACGTGAACAACCGTGATATAATGGATGCAACGAAGCTCCGCGAACGGGAGAACCGAGCTTTTGTTCCGAAATTGCAGTGAGACTAACAAATTGCTTTTGTTCTCCGAGCGAAGATTTTTAAAAATGCTCGAGAAATATAAAATGATTTAATACACTTCATAAATCGATTATCACTTGCTACTAAAATGTGTACCAAGTTTAGCCTTTAAATGCAGTGAAATCCTTTGTGAATTTTATAAAAGCGAAAAAAATTTTCTAATTTAATTTTCTAATTCACACTTTCTGTTATATATCTTTCGAAATTTTGTATTCATCAAATACCATAATCAAATTATAGAATATTACTAAAC